CCGGAACGTTACGGCCCAACGCCTTCACCCGTAGGTTCCGGTCGTCGGTCAGGAGAACCACTTCACGGAATATACTGTTCGACTCGTCTCTCACTTAACTATTGATTAATGTATGAATTTATGATCACTTCTTAAGCCGATATCAAAGACAAACTCATGGAATACGTCTACAATAAACTGCCGGCGAAAGTGAAACTCTTGAGGACACCGGAGAGGGCGGGCCTTATCAGAGCGCGTATGTTCGGCGCCCACCACTCGTCGGGTCAGGTCCTGGTCTTTCTGGACAGTCATTGCGAGGCAAACGTGAATTGGTTGACACCACTGGTCACCCGAATACACGAGAACCGCACGACTGTTGTCTGTCCTATCATTGACATCATTAACGCCAACACTTTTGAGTACACGTCCTCTCCATTAGTGAAGGGAGGCTTCAATTGGTTTGTGTTTTGTTTCATTCATAACTAGTTTTGTCGTATTTTTGTTAACATTAATTGATTTATTGCCAATTAAAGGGGTCTTCACTTCAAATGGGATTCGGTTCCCCACCATATGCTCGAAACGAAAGCCGATTTTATAAAACCCATACCGTATGTCATGTTTTTTATTTGTAATTTAATAACTATTTTGTCTTTGTATGGATCAGTTCGCCAACAATGGCCGGCGGACTCTTCGCCATTGACCGCAACTATTACTTCGAAATGGGAGAGTATGACAGAGGAATGGATATATGGTTTGTGTTATATTTTGTTGTTGGAAACGATGGCAAATAATAATTAATGGTATTGTTGTCCAAACTCTTAGGGGCGGAGAGAATCTCGAGATATCATTTCGTGTAAATATTTTAAATTGATTTTTGACATAAAATTGTGATCTAATTGTTGTGATAAATGAAATGCGAAGATCTGGTTATGCGGCGGACGACTGGAGATAATGCCCTGCTCTCGAGTGGGACACGTGTTCCGACAGCGGCGGCCATACGGCTCGCCCACCGGTGAGGACACGTTGACATACAATTCGTTACGTGTGGCCCACGTATGGATGGATGACTACAAAGTATTGTCACCATTTATTAATCACATCCAACTCCAGACAAGCATTTGTCTTATGGTTATTATTGTTGTGTTTTAGAAATTTTATCTCAATCAAAGACCCGACGCTATCAACAAATCGTACGGCGATATCGCGGACAGAGTACAGCTCAGGCAGAAGTTGAACTGCACTTCATTTGAGTGGTACCTGAAGAACGTATACCCGGAGCTGCGGCTGCCGTCGCCTAAAGAGGACTTAGAGGAGCGCCGGAAAGCCATCAAAGCCAAGATGAAGGCGAAGAATGGCCACAAAAACGAGCGATTGGTTGCCCGAAAAATGCCCAAAATTGTGGACAAATACTTAATACAGTTGTCGGGAACGGATCTATGCGTTGAGTCGGAATCGGAGGCCACGTATAAGGGCTCGAAGTTAATGCTGCAAAAGTGCGCTCAAATACGTCGACAGGTTTGTTATTGTCGTTAATTTTTGTAATCATTTGTTTTAATTTTGTTTGCATTTAATTTTTTGTCCCAAAGCTTTGGTACGAAACGGCCAAACATGACATGAGATTAGGACAGAAACTATGTCTGGATTCGGACGACAAATACCCCCATTTGGCCAAATGTCACGAAATGGGCGGCACTCAGGACTGGAACCATTCGGCAAAGGTATGTACTCTACATTTGGTTAGACATTGTCTCCATTGATATAGTGATTGATGTTTGTGTCTAATATCTAATGCGTTGCTCTATAGAAAAACACAGCCATCTATTCCATGGCTGCGGGCCTTTGTTTGGGCGCTAAACGAGAGTCGGCCGGAGATTATGTGATAATGTCTTTGTGTAACTCCGATGACAGTCGCAAATGGAA